ATGGGCTTTGGAATTAGACTTGCCACTAATTTTTTTTATTCTACCTTTTATAGCCCTTGAACTTGGGCTTTATTAAAAAAAATAAGTGTATAAGTATTTAATGTTTGAGTTCAAATGCCCAAAATTCACATAAAGCCAGACACAGTAGCACACACCTGCAATCCTAATGGTCCTATAGGGAGAGAGGAGGCAGAGACTGGAAGATTCTAAGAGCTTGAAAGCCAGTTAGGTTGGTGTCTTAGGGTTACTATTGCTGTGATGGAACACCATGGCCAAAGCAACTTGGGGGAAAAGGGTCTGTTAGACCTACATTTCCTCATCACTGTTCATCATTGAAGGAAATGGGGACTGGAACTCAAACAACAAGGGACCCTATAAGCAGGAGCTGGTGCACAGGCTACACTAGAGTGCTGCTACTGGCTTATTCTTCATGGTTTATGCAACCTGTTTTCTTATAGGCGCCAGGGCCACTAACCCAGGGGTGACCACACCCTCAAAAGACTGGCCCTCCGTCACTAATTTTAAAAAAAATCCTACAAGCCTGTCTTCTGGGGGTATTTTCTCAATTGAGAGTCCCTCCGCTCAGGTGACTGTAGCTTGTGTCAAGTTGACATAAAACTGGACAGCACAATTGACCCCTTGTCAGCTTGACACATAAACACATCAGGATTAAGCCACAAGCTTTCCTTTCCAGTTCATTCCCAAGATTGCACATTAATACTGGCATCACAATATAAAACACTGTACAAACGTTAAAACCCTCACCTTCTCACAGATTCAAACACTAACAATGTGGTCTTTTAAAATTCAAAGTCTCTGAACTGGGGGCTCCTAGAAAATAAAAAATTATTGGGACCATTTGGAGTCCTGGCCTCCAGCTGCTCCCTGCTAGCGATCTTTACTTTCCTTCTGATTTGAGTTACTAAAGGCTGTGTCAAAGTTGTTTACCAGCTCTGCTTCACGAGCGCAAGTTGCCTTGGCCTTGAGGATCAGAGGATAGGGTTTTCACGTGTTGGCCCACCTGACTGTATTGGGTATAGAAGCCTCCATGGTGCTATTGAATAAAGGGCTTCTTATCAGTAACTAGGGGTCTGTGTCTCTGTCTCTGTCTGTGTACCTTTGTGTGTTTCAATCTCCAGCCCCTTGCTCGAAGTTCAGGAACTGTATGGTAGGTAGAGCACAGACAGGCGTCGAGCGCTGCAAAAAAATAAGTTAAATGCTTTCTTATTTCAAAAGGAAAGAACCAGGGCACAGTCACAATAAAGCAAAACAAAACAAAATTCCAATAGTGTAAATAACTCACTGTCCAGTTACCTGGGATTTTGTCAGTCTTAGTCTTCTGGGCTCCTCCAAAGAGCTTGGGTCACTTCCCTGGCTCTGCCCTCTGCAGTACACACATCTTACAGTCTAGGCTCTAGGTGGTTCCCTTGTACAGCTGCTGCTGTTTTTGGTCACGATACTGACTTCTCCAAAATACTGGGGTCTTCTACTGCAACTGGGCTATACTTCCACCAGTAACCACTCCTGGGCTCTCTTCACGGGGCTCCAACCCTCCAACACAGTACCAAGCCTCAGCTGCTCTCCATGACCCCTTCATACTTTCAAAACCACCACCTGAGTGACTCTTACACCACCAAGATGGGCTGCCTGCACAAGGTACAACCTTGGCCACCTCTGGAACACAGTTTCTGATTGCTGCTTCTCAGGAAAGACTTTCCCGATGATCTCACCTTAGTGATGTTTGTCTCTTCTTAGTCACTGCTAATTTCTCAGCCCACAGCATCAATTGTGCTGGTAAAGCAAAGGTTTCTCTTTAACGGTGCCGGTCTCTTGTTAATCATAGCTGACTCTCAGCCCCAGCTGACCAGAATCTCAGACTCTTAATTCAAAATGTCACATGGCCCTGATAGTCTTTTAGTTTTCCTCTGAAACTTCATAGGCCAGGACTCCATTATCTGTAGTGCTCTCAACATGATCTTTCAAGCTCCTACAGAACAGCCCACTGAGCTCTCAATACTCAATGGCTTTTCCATCCCAACATTCCCAAGTCTTCCGGAAAACACATGGTCAGGTGTGGCTCAGCAACACACCGCTGTCCTGGTATCAATCTCTGTCTTAGATTAGCAACTGCTGCTAAGGAACACCACGACCAAAGCCACTTGAAGAGGACAGGGTTTATTCAGCTCACACTTCCTCTTCATTCTTTATCATGGAAGGAAGTCAGGGCAGGAAGCCAAACAGGGCAGGAACCTGGAAGCAGGAGCTGATGGAGAGGCTATGAAAAACTGTTGCTTTCTGGATTGCTCTTGGTGACTTGCTCAGCCTGCTTTCTTATAAACCCGGACCCACCAGCCCAGAGATGCCATCACTAGCAATGGACTGGGCCCTCCCGACTAATTAAGAAAACACCCTACAGGCTTGTCTATTGAAAGTTCAATGTTCTGAAGGCATTGTCTTGTTTTTTTTTTGGGGGGGGGGTTCTGTTTGTTTGCTTTTTTGTTTTGTTTTGTTTTGTTTTTTTGAGACAGGGATTCTCTATAGCTTTGGAGCCTTGTTCTGGAACTAGCTCTTGTAGAACAGGCTGGCCTCGAACTCACAGAGATCCACCTGCCTCTGCCTCCCAAGTGCTGGGATTAAAGGCCTGTGCCACCACTGCCCAGCTGGAGGCATTGTCTTAATTGAGGCTCCTTTGTACCCAAATAACATTTAGCTTGTGTCATGTTGACAGAAAACTAGCCAGCACACCTGGATTATAGTGATGCAACAAATATTAAAGCAACAAATAAACTTTGTCTGAAACAAGATGGAAGGCAAGTACTGACATAGCACTTGTTCTGTGACCACTGCAACACTTAGACCATAGTATGCACCTGCCTACACACACACATACTCTGTCTCTGTCTCTCTCTATCACACACACACACACACAATTTCTCATCATCTGACACTGCCTGCACTGGCCTATGTGTGTAAGACCACGCCTGTAAACAATCAGAGTGGCAAGGGGCTAGCCCTGGTTAAATTCACAAAACACAACAAAAGACATGAATGTGGGAGAGTTGAAGGGAGGAATGCAGTTGTCTTAGCTACTGTTCTACTGCTGTGGCAAAACACCATAACCTAGGCAATTTATAGAAGCAAGTTTACTGAAGGCTTACAGTTTCAGAGGGTGAGTCCACAACTATCATGGTAGGCAGCATGGCAGCATGCAGGCAGGCATGGTGCTGCAGCAGCCGCTGAGAGGGTGCATCCTTACCAAGTAGGAGGCAGTGGGGGCAGTGGAGAAAGAGCCAACTGGGCCAAGTGTGGCCTTTTAAAACATTAAAGTCCACCCCAGCAATACACCTCCTCTAATAAACTCACACCTCCTAATTTTTTCCAAACAGTTCCATCAACTGAGGACAAAGTATTCAAGCCTATGGTCCCATGGGGGCCATTTCTGTTTAAACTATCACAGCAGTTACCATGGACTGAAGGGATATAAGAAATGGTGTGGGGTGAGAATTTTCAGAATACATTATATGTATGTATTAGTCAAAGAGAAACTTTTGTAAAGGTTATTTACCAAGGATGGTTCTTCTGTATTGGCAATGGTCCTATCAACTCATTTAATCAGTTTAAAGAACAATCCCTGGCCTGCTGAATCCCTGTGACTAAACCTGAAAACATGACATTGAAAAAAAAAGCATGTTTCAAAAGTACACCTAAAACTAGAAAGGAAGAAAGAAAGAAAGAAAGAAAGAAAGAAAGAAAGAAAGAAAGAAAGAAAGAAAGAGAAAGACAAACCAAATAATTCTGGGGGGAAAAAAAACATGTAGCTGCATCTGGGAATGTAGTTCACCTGGTAGCAGGCTTACCTAGCATACACAATGCCCTGGTTTGACGCCCAGCACTACAAAAGCCTGGTGTGGTGGCACACATCTATAATCCCAGCTCTCCAGGGATGGAGACAAGAAGTTCAAAGTCATCCTCAGCTGTAGAGGAAATCCAGGGCTAGCCTAGGCTAGAGACCACTCTCAGAACAAAAAAAAAAAAAAAACTTTTGCACAATAAAACCACATAAATAAGTTGCTAACGTACAAAAACCATATAATGTTATGTACACATTCAGATGCAATAAACAATAAACTGAACACACACAAATGCTGCTTGGTATCAAAGTATTTCCCCTGCGAACTATATTAACAACAACAAAACTTTGTAGCAAACAGATCTTCCTGGTAACAATGAATATTCTCTATGACCTCGATTACATGGGTGTCCTAGTTTGCCTTTTGTTGTTGTGATAAAATGTTGACCAAAATCAAACAGGCAAGGGACAGGTTTCTTGTAGCTTACAGGGTTTAGTCTGTCGTTGAGGGGAGGTAAGACAAAGAACCCAAGACTGAAGCTCAAAGCAGAATTTAGCAGTTGGAGGCTACTCACTGACTCATTTCTGATTTGACCTTCCACCTTTTCTTTTCTTGTCTTTCTTTCTTTCTTTTTTTTTTTTTTTTTTTTTTGGACTTTGGAAACAAGGTTTCTCTCTGTGTAGCCTCGAAGCCTGTCCTAGAACTTGCTCTGTAGACCAATGTAGCCTCATCCTCACAGAGATCCACCAGCCTCTGCCCCCCAAGTGCTGGGACTACAGTGCTACCATGCCCAGCCCTTCTACCTTTCTTAGGTAGCTCAGGTCTGCCTGCCCAGGCATGGCACTACCCACAAAAGGCTGGGCCCTCCTACATCTCTTAGCAATGAAGAACCTGTCCACCCCCAACACACAGCAATCTGATGGAGACAATTACTCCCTTGAGGTTCCCTCTTCCCAGAGGTTACGTCACGTGGACAAAAGCCAAGCAGCACAGTAATGTACTGCAAGTTTCAGGGTGCCTGTCGCTCTGTAGCACTTGTCTCAAATGCTCAATCTCACTTCAATCGTGAGAAAACATTTTATCAACAGAAATAGAGGGGCAGTCTACGAGTAATGGATCAGTTCGCTTTGAGTGTGAAGGGCACAAGAACCTACAAACATTTTTTTTTTCTAATCAATGGTTACAGAATGGAGAGCACCAAAGAAATAGCGACTTTATAATGTGTTGTGGGATCCTAGATTAGGTCTTGGAAAAGAAACCGGAACTAAACAGAAGCAGCGCTGGTGCTTGGTGCAGGTCTACCGCTTAGCTAACGGTAGGCATTGTACCTGCGCTGATTTCCTGGTTTTGTTCTTTGTACCGGGATTATGTAAGAGTGACACACAAGCGGCAGTTGGGTAAAGGGCACACAGGAACAGAAGGCGCTATTTTTACAATTTCTGTTGGTCTAAAATTAGTTCAGAATTAAAATGAAATAACAGACAAAAACACCTGAAAAGACTCTACAAGTGAGCCAGTGTGAAGAAGACACAGAGCCCAGGAGAAGAAAGAACAGGAATGGCTGTATAGTCACAAAGGAACAGGAAGCAGACAGCCAGGAGCTAACACATTACAAATGAAAAAGTTCCCCCTCGGATCTTATGGAAATCCAGACTAAAACAAGGATTCTGCCTGATCTTCAAGCAGACGCATTTGGCCCTGTACACCAGTCCGCAGATGAGAATGAGAATGCAAGAAGCAAAGACACAAGGCCACTGTAAGGTACCGGCCTCTCGGAGAGAATTTTTCAAAGTTAAAGTGTAGGCATCCTTGACAAAGGTTTTCCCTTATAAAAGTTCATTCTAATGAAATAAAAAGACAAAAAATACAAAGGCTATTAATTGAAATGTCATAATCCTGAAATTTCTCAAATAATCTCCATGCTCATCAATGGAGAAAGGGTAATCATGAAGCATCCTGTATCCATATGTGGAAATATCATTCAATAACGTTAAAATAGTATGTACTTTTACAGTCTTGAATATATGTGATTATTTTGAGGGATGTGAAAGACCTTTCATAATAAACATCAATTACAGCACAAAATATGGTAGAAAATATTTATGATTATTATAATTTTTTAATATGAGGGGAAAATATAACTTTGATTTATTATATTTTTATTTTCTAACTCCTAAGTTCTAAAATTAACACATATTTTCTTTTAATAATGAAAAGAATAGTATTCTTTTCAGTTTAATTTTTGAAAAATTGATATCTCACTAAGACTTCATTTGTTTTTCAGGGATCCAGAATTACGGGATGATTGTCTCTGCCGTCCTAGATAGTGGAAAACTCCATAGCTGCACGTTCAGGACCCGCCACTAGGTGGTACACTGCTTCTCCACAGCTCCTTTCGGACATTTTAAGCTTAGTGAGCTATGCGTGCTTAACTGAGGTAATGCCAGACAATATCCCAGTCCCGCATTTGTTTTTCCTTCACGTAAAAATCGTTTGCGTTCCCCGAATAGTTATTAACTTAATATCCTTTCTTTTTTTTAAGTTTTCTTACAGTAGGCACTGAAATGTCCTGTACATGTAAGAGACAAAAGCCTGATCAGTTGACAGTTTTGCTTTTCGTCAACTTCCTAAACAAATTTAAATCGGTTTTCATGAAGCCGATTATTGCTCTATATTGGACGTCTTCAAGAGAAAAAGGGAGGGCTTGGCATTCTCAGAGCATATTTGAATCTCTAAGTGTTATTAATTATACATATATTTTACTTGTGGATTATTTGAATCTTAGAAGGAACGACAGTCCAAAGAATACGACCTAAGAAACACTGTCGTCGACACCTGTCCATTTAACATAATCATCTGAGTTCATGACTCTTCAGCCTTCTTCATTCCCGCCTTCTTCATTCAGCCTTCTTCATTCCCGACTACTGATGTCATCTGTCCTGTGTCCATATAGCCCAGAGCCATTAAGTCATAGGTTGTCAGTTGCTATTATCTAACCAGCATGGTGCTGGACGAATTTCCTGTACCTGAGCCTTTCTCTCTGAGCTGTGCTAGTCTTAGGACAGGGGTCTTAAGTAGATCCTCTCCTATTGGCGTCTGATTGCCCCCTGAAATAAACCCAATATAATCAAGTACAAGAAGGTGCTTAGTCTGCTGGCCCCAGTTCATGTGAGAATAGAATTCATATCCTCCAGGAAATCTGCTAAATACAGCAGCGTGGATTAACTCTAGGCTCATCAAGGAAAACTTTGGAAACAGAAACCCAGTACAGATCACCTCAGTCCCCCAATAATTAGCAAGGTACCCAAAACACTATGAGCCTTGTTACATATTTGAAGAATGAGTGACGTCTTTAATAAGTGAATAGAATCAGGTGCTTGTTAGTAAGATACTAGAAAGCGTATCTTAATTCTAACATCGCATTTTAAGCCTTGTTTAACATATGCTAATCATAAAATGACTTATTTCCTCAAAACTGTTTACAAGTTGATTCTGTGGTTCAGATATGAAGAAGGGTAGGAAATAGCTCTGTCCTCATAAAGTGCAGAGTGCAGCAATTAAAAATAACTTGCACAGATTTAACACTTCCTCAAGCGCTTTACTACTCAGTGTTCAAAAGAACCCAAGATTGACAGATGCACCCAGCTACTTGCTTTAAATTGCTGTAAAGTCATAGGTAGGCTCAAAGTATCCTTCTAAAATGCAAAGAAAATATAAAGAACAGTGATACCAGAGATGCCTTTGAAGATGCCATGCAACTTAAAAACAGTGTTTAAGGGGTCTGTGGGCCCTTTCCTTCTCCAATGAAAATTATTCTGCATCTCGTTTCTAACTTGGCTTCATTTCCATCTATATTTAACCATGTATCTTTGCTAAATAATAAATTCTACAGTTTTACAAATTGCTTATACATGGAACCATGCTGCAAATGCAGTATTTCCATCCATATCATCACGTCCCTTTCCACGTGGATTGGATTCTCCTCATATATGTTACACACATGTACAGACACACGAACAAAGATAAATTCATACAGCTTCTTCATGAAACCAGCAAGCCAAAAGACTACGTGTAATGTTCTTTCAGAGGGTCTATGGGCCTAAGCTGAGGTTCTTTAATGAATAGTTATGGAAAGACAGCTAGATAATTCATGGCCCAGGGTTCCTGACAAGACCTTTATTGGTTGTGAGATGAAAGCAAAGTTGCCCCACTATTGAAATCCTAGAATATCTAAGCCTCTTAGCAGGCAGAGTATCTGTATATCTAGGACATAAAAACACATGTTTTGAAAAGTAGGGAAAAAAGAAATTCCTTAAAGGTAGAGGAGGAAGCGTGTTCTTTGTGCCCTTTGGTCTTTCTCCCTGCACCCTTCAGCGCAGACGTGAGAGAAGTGACTCAGCCACCACTCACATGTGACTAACCTGGAAAACGTGAGTGACATTCTTGAACTTCACACCATCACTATTTCCTCTACTCGCTGTTTCATATAAAAAATAGGAAGCCCTACCTCACTCGAGTCATAATGATTTGGATTTCCTATTATACACAGCCAAATTGAAGCTCTACTTGATAAAGCAATCATCAAAGATATTTGCTCTAAAATTATACCTGATGGCTGTTCTCTCTTTCATGGATGCTGGTATAGAACATTGGTGCTGAACCTCAGTCACTAAGACAAATCTCTTTTTTAGAGCACAGAGTAGGCCCCACCTAAATGGGGTTTAGTGTGCTCAGGTGGTCTGGTTCAGCAGGTTTGCGAACTGCAGCAATGCAAAACCATTCCATGACCACCCACTTCCATTTCCTTCGTGTTGGATCTTACGTGTATGAGTCTATGTTAAGAAGCATATGTCGACACCTCAAAGTACTTTTCAAAACATTTGTCAAATCAAGGCTCAGCAGAATGGCAGAAGGCATGCAGACCAACTTCCTAGGCATTTTCCACAAGTATGATCGGCTACCTTTCACAGACGAGGAACATCTGCAAAGCCTATTGCCAAGAGTTATACACTCTGGTGAAGAAACTAGACTCACCAGATTCCTCTTCCCTATGTTTGAGACTTAAAATGCTTAGGATCGGACATCGAGTACCAAGGTTAATAAGAACCTCTCCATTTCTACTGATTTTCATGAGCCCATAAGATTTCAGATGCCAAGCAACGCCTCCTTCCTTAACTGTATGTAAAGGATTTCTGTTCTTTTTTAAGTCTGTTCACCTTATTTTGCATAATTGAAAAAAATCTCTAAGTTCCCAGTTCCTTAGGAAAAAAGAAAGGTGGAGTGTTCTGGATTAGTTTATGTGGTACAGTGGAAAGATAATGTGTTTAGGAACCACAAATACTGGCTCTAAGACACATAAGTTATGTGATCTTTGTCAAGTCATTTAACAGCTTTGAACTCCATATTTTCCCTCTGAGGTACAGCCACAGGGGCCTGTTAGGATCAAACAATAAAATGTTCTCAAGATGTATCATGGGTAAAGGGCTTGCCACACCAGCCTGATGACAGAGTTAAATCCTTGAAAATCACGAAAAGGTAGAAATCTGTGAAGTTGCTGTCTGACCTCCATACACACACCCCTGCACATCATGCATACATAATAATGCTAAATCTTTTTAAGGCCATGAAAGTTCGGCTGTAGTGTACAAAAGACATTCTCTGCCCTCACACAGTCATATTATAGTGGATAAAAGAAAACATGATTTGCAATAGCAATAGAAGACATTGAGAAGAAACATAAAGTAGGATATGGAATTACCATCCTAACTGAAGATACAGAATTAAAGGGTCAGTGAATGAGGAGGAGGTGGTTCTTCAGGTTTGTATTAAAGGGCAAGTCTTGGATTAACTGAGAATAGCCATGAAGATATCTGCTAACACACACACTCACACACATGTGCAAAAAGACAAAGACAAATAAAAGGTCAAAGACTAGAAGCTAGAGAGGGTGCAGGTGCCTAGGACACAGTAGTTCCTTTACCATAATGGTATTTCCAGGTGCCCCCTCTGCGATGAAGTTATGTCACCTCTTTCTTCTCTGTTTCCAAACCAGTGGATCATGTCTCATGCTGTTTCTTTTAGAGTCCCGTACAATGAATGTGCCTTCTTTCTCTCACTATTTTAACCTAAGCCTAGATTCTCCTCCACAAATATTTAATGTATCCTTGCTCTTTAAGTTGCTGTGTTCTAAAGGATAGATACATAGCCAGGGCCTTACAGAAAACTATGAGTATGTTACTTTGATCCTCATGAAAGTCCTAGGGTGTAGCTATGATTTTGTTGCATATGTGGGAACATATTTGAAAGTCAATATTATCAAATGCTACAAATGGCTAGAAGATGAATTGGAACTTGAATCAAATCCCTGCCATACATTATATTCTTCATATCAACTACTGTCTTCTGCTACCTCTGGTATGGAGGGGGGCATAGGTGAACACACAATCCCATCTAAGAAGCTACTGACCATGAAAGGAAAAATCAGTTTTCCTGAAGGGCATGAGCCCTGTGGTCTATCACATTCAAGAGCAGGTCAACACACCCAAGGGTATTTGGGCAATACAAACTGGATTTGATATTTTTTTTTTCTTTTTCGGAACATAATGTTGGAAGGTTCCCTAGCACCGGGTTTCTTCCTAACCCTTTAATGGACCCCTATATCAAAATATCTTTCACTACTCCATCCTGCCCCCAACTTGACCATCCCAATCCCTCATGTTTTCCTATCCTCATTCCCTCCCCTCCAACCCATCCTGCCCCCAGTTTACCTAGGAGGAGATCTCATCTATTTCCTCTTCCCAGAGAGATCCATGCATACCTCTTAGGGTCCTCCTTGTTACCTAGCTTCTCTGGGACTGTGGATTGCAGCCTGGTTATCCTTTGTTTTATTTCCAATGTACTCTTATGAGTGAAGACATACCATGCAGGAACCCACAAGGATGGCCTCAGCTAAGACTCCTAGCAATAGTGGAAGGGTACCTGACCTGGCCTTCCCCTGTAATCAGGCTGGTAACTACCCTAATTGTCTTCATAGAGTCTTCATCCAGTAACTGATGAAAGCAGATGCAGAGATCCACAGCCAATCACTGGGTCAAGCTTTGGGAGTCCAGTTGAAGAAAGGGAGGAGGGATCATATGAACAAGGGAGTGGGGGGTCAAGATTATGATTGGGAAACCCACAGACAGCTGATTTGAGCTTGTGGGAACTCATGTACTCATGGACAGACAGCTAAGGAACCAGCATGGGACCAACCTAGACATCTGGGTGACAGTTGTATAGCTTGGTCTGTTTGTGGGGCTCCTAACAGAGGGACCTGTCTCTGGAATATGAACTGGCTTTTTGGAACCTATTCCCTATGGTGGGATGCCTTGTCTAGCCTTGATTCAAGGGGGAGGAACTTCATTCTGCCTCAACTCAATGTGCCATGCTTTGTTGACT